ACAGTGTGTTTGCGTGAATCACAGATAACTGGTCTACCTTCCTTTTCAAAAACTGCGACAATACCCACAGGTGATGCATCTGTAATAATCAAAGAACGTACACTAGGGGCGTAAGTTCGAAGAACAGCATCACTTTGAAGAATTTTCGGTAAACCTCGTAAGCATGACTCTTGTTCCTCACCCCATTCGAATGAATTGGATGTCAAAATATTAAATAAACAATTTGCACGAGGAGAAAAATTAGGAATAAAATGGGAATAGTATTGAACAGCACCCACCAGTGAACGTAGTTCTGTAAGATTTTTTGGAGATGGTGCATTTGTCAGGGGAGCTAGTCGTTTCATATCTGGTCTAAAACGATTACCATCAACTGGGTATCCAAGACATTCAAAACTAGATACACAACATGAACACTTATTTGGATTCACTGTAATATTCTTCTCAATCAAACGACGCAATAAAGCAATAAGTCTCTGGTCATGAACTACCTTGTCAGAACCATGAGCAATTAGATCACCTTGATAAACTTCAACACCTTCAAAATCACTAACTACTTTATTCATAACTTCCTGAAATATGGCTGGAGAACAACTTGGACCAAATGGAAGGAAATTGTATTTGAACAGACCAAAGGGAGTGTTAATTGTCGTCAAAATAGATGAAGATTGATGTAAATGGATTTGAAGATAGGCATCTATTGGGTCGATTTTCGAGAACACTTTAGAACCATGAAGTCGATTTGAAACATCTTCAGCCTCTACCGTTGTGCACATTTGATTCAGCAAACGGGAGTTCAATGTTAATCTATAGTCACCAAATATTCTAGGGGTCTTGCCGTCCGACTTCAGTGGCGTAACGATAGGAGCACCTCATGCTGAAGACTGAATTAGTTCAATTATGCCTTTTGCACACAAATCGTTGAATGTCTTATGTACTGCTTCTCGAAGATCATAAGGAATTACTCGTCTTTTAAGAAAGACTGGATCATTCTGTACTTGAAGTTTTATACGCTGAATTTTCATACCTCCACTGCACTTAGCACACGTAGCTATCAAATCTTTAAGTAAAGTGTCGAATTTTTCTTCAGAAACTAGGAAAGACAACTCCACTTTAAGCCTTTTCAAATCCCTTAAACCCAGTATTGACAGTTCTGTTTCGTTAACTAAAAATTCACAAGGTATATATGAAGAATTATTATCTTTTATTAGCAATTCACAACATCCTCGTATGGGCAGTCTGTGTCCAGTAATCACCAATATTGATGCTTCAGTGGGTCGTGCCACAACGTTAGGATCTAAATATTTCAAGTTCTTTAATGAAATAATAGACTGTATACTGCCTGTGTCCACAATCAAGTCATGACATGAATAAAGCGATGTATACAGTCGCTTTTGAATATGAGCATTACCTTTCGAAATAGTAGACAAAGATAAATGATCACTAGGAACATCCGAATTATTGAGATATAAATTACAAGATTTAGTACTATTTGAAGCAAAATGGACATTAGTTTTGCATACTGACTTGGTATGTCCTATCTTACCACATTTAAAACATTTAGCATGACGAAATGCACATGAGTTACGAGAATAAAACTTTCCACATGATAAATATTTACCAAACTTGATCTCATCATTGTGATTTGCTTTGTAATTCCTTGTTGAAACGCCTTTCATGTTTACACGAGAGTAGGAAACACTATCAAACGAACGCAAGTTTGATTGACCCTGGGATTGTATTTCATCATGATGACTAAGCGAATTATTAGAAATTTTCATCGACTGGATATCAAGTTAATTCACTGCCATGTAATTAACACATGCCGTTCTAGCATCTTGAAAGGAACAGTTCGGCATTCTTAACAGCCCTCTTTCCAAACCCGGTATGTTATTTCCCGCAATTAATTGATCTCCCAGTTGAACATGACGTTGATCACCGATATTACATTTGAAAGCCTTTTTCTGCATTTCAAGGATGAATTCCCTAATCTTTTGGTCATTTTGACAAATTATCCTATGAAATTTCGCACTTTCACGGCATTCAAACCTAGTACACTTTACATGATTTAATAATAGTTCCTTAAGAGTTGCATAAAGAAGAGAGATAGGTCTTTCTGGATATGCCATAGATTTTAATAAGCTGCACGCTTCTCTCCCAATGAATGTCAGGAAATGTGCCACAATTTTATAACCTTTAACATCTTTCCCAGTCATGCCCCAGATTTCAAACCTTTCCAAATAATCCTCAAAAGCTTCAGAAGTTGAATGAATATCTAATTGCTCCATCACGACGCAATGTGATAATTAGGAGTATTTGAATTATAGTACGAACTAAGGATCCCAAAAATAACGCAACTGGATCAAGAAGTACTAGATAGGCACAAACGAATTTACTGTATTTGAAATTTGAAATCAGGCATTCAACAAGCACAATGGAATCATTATTTCATTCAAACACCACACACGATTTAACCAAGAGGTACTAAATGAGTATGAACGGATGTATTGTGTTTGGAATTCGGAACCAGACAGTTATCATGGACAAAGAACTCATTAGTTTACAAGAACACCACATGAGCACAAAGAAGTCAGTCGGTACATACATGCTGGTGACAAAAGTACTAAAGAGATATTGGGAACCTATGATTCCTCGTTATATTTAGTTGCCTTGTTTAATGTACACATGCCAAATTCATATGATTGTTTACCCGTTTAAAAATACAGTATCTAATTGACCGCGTGATCCTCAATTCAATGAATTCTATTCCGTTGGTTAACATTCACTCAGTTGTCTGAGGAGTTCAAATGCCCCATATGTGAATCATCCTTGTCTTCAATTTCTAGCGTTATTTGTATCCCAATACAATTGCTAATGATCCTAAGTTTTCATTTCAGTCGTATCTTTTCGGTTCTGTCATACTTTGATTATTCATTACCACTTTACATGTTAGGTAACTCAAGTACTTAATTATGCATTCAGGAACACTTGTGTTCTGGTTTTTACCTATTTTACTTATCTTCTACCACTCAGTATGAACATAACGAATATAACAACGTCTAGAGTTAAAATCGTTTAATGAAATAATATTCCTTCAACTTCATAGTGAAGGACTCGTGTTTTCATCGCAACCTTGTTGCGTAATCTACACATCAGAGTAGTAAAAGCAGGTACGTTGACTATTATCATAGTTATAGAACATATATAAACTGCAGCAAACTCGTCATTGATTTAGTGAAACCAAAATTTGAACTATTAATAAACAACTCCGTTTTTTAACAATGTTAACAACAAACAAACTGAATTATGTAAATTATTTTCAATATATCAGTCACCAGACATACAGTGTATCACATTAGAATGGCTATTTGATGTTAACTAGTAATGACAATAAATATGTAGATATTGTTTGTACTAACATTTTAGCACATGTTGCTCTGTTTAGGATATTATGAAGGTGTTGCAGTCTGAAGGTTTACTGCACAATTAATCACATTACATGTTCCTTCGGATTCAATCGATATTTATAACCTATCATTTTAACCACCTAAATTATCGGAATCCTACTCAGTAGTCTAACACGTTTATTAAGAGAGTGGAATGTCCTACAATTAAACCTCATAAAGAATATGTATATCTTAGAAGACTGATCAGCCCTAATGAGTTGATATCTGAAAAATTTCTACACCGATTCAGAAAGTTTGTTTACGTCACTGTGGTGTTTGAACGAACTAATAATACCTTTGTACTTGCTGAATGCTCGATTTCGAATTCCAAATACAATACATTCGTTTATGATTGTGACTCACTTCTTAATTCAATTGTGTTATTTCTGGGACTCTTAGTTCGTGCTATAATTCAAACAATTCAAAACATTATAATCACCTATGTCGAAAGTGAAATACCTATTTATCAGTTAAGGGACGAGTATACTGCGCAGCAGTTCATTTTGTTCTACTTTACAGCTGCGAAATTCGGCCATTAAGAGTAGAAGACTATCGTAATTTACTATTATTTGATCACAGATACCTTAGAAATATCTCTCGTATTTGATAGCATCACCGGGTAAGTGATAGTGAGGTTAGACGCAACGTATCAGGGATTGATAGTAAATCAGTTGATAAGATTACAAATCTTAGGGGCGGCCAAAGCTTGAAGTCACTAACTTCTAGTCTTAGCCATGTTGGTAGATACAGACTACTTTGTTGTGTTCCGCGTGACTATCGTAACCAATAGTCCGAGACAGTGTGACTTGTTTCAGAACCGATCACAATGGCGTCGGTGTATACACTCTCTGCCTTCGCTTTAACTTTGAGATTACTTACTTTCTACGAACTGACTCCTTCTCCCTGTATCATATCCCTATATACAATCTTTTTTTATATTACTACCAGTGAAGTAACTACTTCTATGAATTCGATGTTCATTTTGTTGTGCTAATGAAGTGTGGCAACTTGTACCGATGCATACGTGTGCCTAGTCTTACATTGTAACTGACTGATATATACATATATATACATGGGTTATTGATCAGTTTCACATTAGAATGAAAAGAGCTATTCAAGTGTTTCAGATATTCATTAGTCTTTCTCTGTGATAAAAAACCAAAAATCAAAAAAAGATCTCTCTCTTTATTTACATGTTATTATATCCTTCAATAAATGTGCATTTAGCCTTTTCCTTTTCCAACCAATCATATTCATCTTAATTCGAAATATTATAGGTTAACATGTTGTTACATTTGAAATGTCTATTTCAATTAATTATTGTCTATAATTAATTAATTAATCAGATCAATCACTGCATAGTAGTATAATTCAATTCCATACAATTTTGTTGTTGTTGTCGTTGTCCTTGCTTGTTGTTGTCACCGTCATCGTTGTCCTTGTTTGTTGTTGTTGTTGTCGTTGTCGTCATCGTTATTGTCGTCATCGTTATTGTCGTCGTCGTTGCTTGTTTGTTTGTTATCAGTTTCCCATCTCTTCTAAATATTTTTCCTAAATATGTTTTCATATTATTTTGAACAAAATAAAAATTCTCAATTTATTCATATTTTTAATGATTATCAATTGAATAATAAAACTTTATTTTCATCATTAATTATCATTATGTTAATAACATGGAGTATATTCTATGTAATTATTCCTAATACTACTAGTAATACTACTACTACTAATAATAATGGAATAGATCCATTCAATACAAATAACCCTTTGGTAAGTTCATTTCATTATTTGATATAGAATCCTTTGTAAGGACTTGATGTTTTGATTGATGATATTGATACTTCATTTCAAATATCTTGGTGTGTCCAAGGGTTGGAGAGAGTTAGCATTCCATCTCAAAATACTCTCACATGGCCATGTGTATACAGCCATTGATAGAGAAGTCCTACTCAATAACTTCTCGCATCATAAGTGTTGTTTACGAAACTGAGAGGATGAAAAGCGAATCTCTGGCTCTTAAACCGGGTTGGTGGATAAAGAAGGTCCACCTAGGGGAGTTGGAAAACCCTGATTCCATACCACTGGTGCACATGGGCTCCAGTATCTTGAAGGAACAAATGGCGTATGAACCAATTGTTGGTCAATGGCTACCATGGAACTGCGTCTCCTTACGACGTTCCATTGCCTTGTGGATCAGACCTTTGGGTCGAAGGCTCTGAGTGTGTTTCCCTTAGGGAAATCACCTGTTTCAATCTAGGCATCCGGGTATTATCACAGCCCACACACAAATCAAGTGACTTATGTAGCGCATATCTATTTGGTGCCTTCTTGTACCAATATTTTGTGTCCAAATAATCAATAATAATAGATTGTTTAAAAGAAACCTAATTAGTGTTTCTAATTGTGAATTTTATTAAACTATCAATAATCACATCGAGGATATCCGTTGGACCCTGTTCTGTTATCGATAGTTTTATTTCATCTATTTCGACTTTCTAAGTAAATTATTGATTTATGTCAACTTAATTAATGATTACGATTTTATCAGAAAGGGGTTTTTGTGGATATTATAATAATTTAATAGTTAAGTTAATGAATTAATTGAAGTTAGACCACCATAGGAAACCTAGAAGCATTGGACTGCCGTTTCGTCCTGGTTTAGGACTCCTCAGCAGTACGTATCAACGATCCCGCTCGCTTGATCCAAACCCAGGATATCTAGACCACTGTGTCGGCATCCAACAGCATTAATGTCAAACTTCAACCAAGCCATGAAATTACGTCACCGTCCACCATTTCGATATTTGATATTGTTTGTGTCTATTAGATTTTATTTTTCAAGATTATAAATTTCACACTCCGTTAACATGTTGTTATTCTTAACTATCAAGTAGCTTCATGAATAACTAGTCAATGCTTGAATTGATAAATATTATGTTCAGGTCTCCTTGTGAATATCATGGGTGAGTTGCAGTTACATTCATCTAATTACTACCCCATGGAGTCAAAAATACTTGCTACATTTGACTGTATGCTACGATTGAACAGTTTGATAGTGAATAAGTTTTTGTTGAAACACTAGATATGACAATTACAACTAGAATGTTTGCAAATTGGACTTTTAACCGTAATCCTCTCATCTATTTAAAATAAAATAATGATAAATTCTGTTAAATATTTCCTGGAATTCTAGTGAAAAGCCGTGACCAGTGGAGTTCAATCGCCTTTGTTGTATAGGCAGTTACACACTGAAGACAATGTTGGACGGTCGCGCAATATCGTGGATTGATTAAAGTTACACATTAACACCACTACATGCTGCCCCAACGGTCTAGGGGTTAGGCGTTCGCCCCTGAGACTGAATATCCTTGGTTCAAGTCCCTCATGCAGGGTTGTGAATGCACTGTTGAGAAGTCCCGTGCTACGACAAAACGGCCATTCAGTGCCTCCAGGTTCTCCAAGGTGTTCTAGGTTTAATAAAATTCACTTATTAAAAACTACAAAGTGAAACGTCTATAACAATACATTTATTTGAGGACTCTCCGTTCAAATTATTTGCAGTTAGTTTATGCACAAACGAAGTGCAAAGGAAAGCGATTGTACTTTACTGATTACCCCTGCATATGCCTATCATATAAACGTCTACACAACTATTACTACTGTATGACTTCAGTAAACTTATCACTTCATATTTGAGCTTTATTTCGGAAGGTTCAGAAGAACGTGACTATGAATTCTGTTTATCGAATATTTCATTAATTGTATTTACTCAACCGTAACACTGGTTTGGTACATTTTATTCTATGGAACGTTCTTCTATTAAAACATTTTCATATGAACCATATGATTTTCAATGAAAAGATATTTCAGTCTCCAAGATTATTAATTTAAGCTATAAAGCCGTATTTACAGTTTGTTTTACATGTGACAGTTTATAGTATAATAAGGGAGTATTGAGTCATGAAACAGAGTTATTAAAGGTGAAGGTAAAGGAGTTGCGTTTTCTACGTTCGACAGCGTAATTGAGAAGCTTCCAGTGTTGTTGCTTTAGACGGCAACTCCAGCGCCTACTTCACCCAGAAATGAGTGTTCCAGTTATCCGATTAGTGTGATAACAGCTCGTTATTTGCTAGATGGTCGAATGGAATAACCGACGTTTTTCAATAGTAAATCTAAGTTACCTAAAAGTCATAGAGATAATAAGAAACAATTTACATAAGAGATGTAAAAGATAATTGTCTAAATTCAATTGGTGTTGTTTTACTTGTACCTTTCATTGTTATTTAGAACTGCAATTGATCAATATCTTATTGGTATATGTGCATCATGTGCGGATTGCCTCGATATAGCCTTAAGTCCCAAACTTTTTAAGCAAATATGGAAAGTGGCTAGCAGTGGAATTCAGGACGAGCGTTCCGTTCTATGTAGGACTCGTCAGCTGGATGTAACTTCAACAAGATACTGATTAATTGCAGTCCTAAGTAACAATGGGAGGATACAAGTAAGACAACACAAAGTGAATATAATCTTCAACATTTAATGACTTTTTCAGATTATCACTTCAATATGTCACCATAAATTTGATTTTGATTCGTTGTTTCGATTTGAGTACTCAGAGGGGGGTAGACACTGTAGTTATTATTACAAAATGTTTTGACCAACTACTTAAATAGCTTCATCAGTGTAATTTTTTTCTGTTTTAGGAAAAGAAAATTCACATTGTGATCTTATTTGATGGTGATCGAGGTCTACAATACTTGAATAGTCTTCTGAAATCTATTTTCTATCATCAAAATGGAAGATTTCGATGTGATTTAAACGCTTGTTGTCATTCAAACTTTTGTGATCGGTTTATGAATGATTGTCAAACTGTTATGAACAATGTGTCAACAACATATACAACTGTATTTCATTTCTTATTAACGTCGATTTCATTAAATAGTCAGTTGTTGAATTTGATGAATACATGGAAATTACATAATATGGAATATCATTTCTACAGTTGTGGTAATCAACTGGTAAGTTTTCACATGCATTGTAACTAACTGTGTTACGTCACTGTACAAACGTTATATTACATCAGTATTGATTTGATGAAAATACTCTCAGTGTTTTATTACAATGATTCCAATAATATCAGTACGGAGTTTTATGGAGATGGCACTATTTATAGTTTAAATTACAAATTGATATTAGTCGGACAACCATCAAAAAGCTAACGGGGCTCGATGACCATCTTGTCTTGGTAAAGCATTTCAGGGCCTCAACTCATATGTCTTATCCAAGACCCCCGACCTCGCACATGGTTGCCTAACCACTAGGCCACTGAACTGGCCACCAACAGAATTAAAATCTTATTTCGATTAATTCACGAGATTGCGCAAACCTCATTCGTTGGCTGGAGTAGGTATCTGCCTCATACCCAACTCGGTTATACTCTACTGGTTACGGTTTCTCACTAGAACTCCAGAAGTTTCCTGTTGAAGCTTTTCACTAACAATTACATGACAATCGCCACTGTGAGGTTGTGGCGAATATTGTGTCACTGGTGAGATGACAGTGGAGTTTAGTCGTGTCAGGTATGAGATAGGCACCTACCGACGACAATAGATGATGATTTCACAATATCATAGTCTGACTAAAGTTAACTTATACATGCTTGAACGCTCACCTAGTGCTTTAGAGGTCGAGCGTTCGCTTGCGAGATTCAAGGTTTTTGATCGGATTTCAGGTACTCTGTCGTGGATGTGCACTGCTGAAGTCCCATACTTGAATGAAACAACCGTTCACTGCTTCCATATCTTCAATGGTTATCTAACTTAGATCGGTTTGTGATTTCAATGTACTATGTTTACTAACTTGAATCTGTGTGATTCTTTGTAGACAGATATTTGGTGGATTCAATCTAGGCATCCTTCAGGCGCGAAACCATTTTTAAAATTGATGATTACAGAAATTCTTCCATCTACAATCAATAAAGTAAGTCACAGTTCTGCATGTTCTCTCAGTAAGTTTCATAATATTTTTCATCAAATTTTTCCGTATAAATTGACTACAATATTTAAGTGTTTGATTCCCAATGTCGTATGAAGAAAACAAGTTTACGTCAGTGTTCAGGAAGTAAATCTTATTCTAATACCACACTAATAAGCATGTAGTCAATTTTAAGGACTACATTTTGTGAGGAAGTAGGAAACGTGAACACAGATGATAATGTAATAAGAAAAAGCATAATACTAAATTATATAATGGAAATAATAGCAGTACAATGCATTGGAAGTGATCATAAGAAGAAAGCTTTTCAATACTAAATACTAAATGTGAATGAACGAGGCTAACTAACAAGAACCAAAAAAATAGTGGGTATATGCCATGTTCCCTGGTTCTCAGTGCTGTGTAACTGCGATCAATCTATGATGTGAATTACATGCTAATTCAATCATTTATCTAAATGAGAAAGTAATAACGATCGACTAATACTAAGTATAGTGCAAATACAAGTATACACTTTCTCTGGGTCTACACTACTTGATTATTCTTATGAAATATCACAGATATTTGTTTTTGGTAGTGATATAAAAGGAAAACGTTCGACAATTTTATTATAAACTAGCGTCGATAACAAAGGTATCTCAAAGTCATAGTCAAAGTCAAAGTAGATCAAACTTCGATAAATGGACTTTGGAATAATAACAATAATAATAATAATAATGATAATAATAATAATAATAACTGAATATTATCTAGATTACGTAATAAAAAGTGTTTAAATAATTAAATATTGAACAATATGAATGGAAAGCGGAAATAGTACAAACAGATAGGGGATATGAGAAAAATTATTAATCTCATGTGATATGTCGTATCCAGGATTGTCATGAATTTTCTCTGGATTAATATACTAGAATTATAGGTTCGGAACCCAATAGGTTCTGCTATATGTAAATGACGGGATCTAACCCCATTGGAAAGTGAAGGAAGCACATAATAGAACACCACCGTATGTCCATTAACGACTAGATACGCCAAGATAAAGCTATGTAGTGTCTTTGTCTGACCCTTTACAAACCAAACTAAGAGATGTTCACTTATATGTTCATTAAATTACCTAGTAGTAAAGCCAATAAAGCTATCTCCATAGGAACAAATGAACCTCCTAATCATCTTGTACTCACTATCGCTACATCAAACTGAAATCTTTTTCACAACTCAAATATGATCGAAAAGTGAATAATTAAAACAGATTAACTTTACTCCTCACCATCACCACCACCACCCCCACCCCCATAAACACACATCGAATACAATCATGACTGCACTTATTTGATGAATATTGATTTGTACAAATTTGTACTGATTTCCTGCAAAAAATAACAACCACACTATCATCACATATCACTGGAAAATACACAGAATAACTGAGACAACAAAAAAAAACAAACAAAAGAACTTCATATCACATGTTATAACATTAAAATCAATAGAAAATTGAGTAGATTAATGCAGTAAAATACAATTGAATTAATATTCAAAAAATAAATTTAGATTCTAATAACGATCAATAATAAGTCAAGATAGATGGTGACTAGTAGTGGAATCTAGGACGTGAGATTTGGAACTATTCAACTGCATGTATCTGCATCAATAATGAAGAGAATAATTACACCGAGTTAATAATCTTGTCTCATCATTTTATCGCATCCTAACACTCTCCTGTTTTTAGCGGGTTATGTAATGAGTCAAATTAGGAATAAGATGTTTTACTGTGTAACTCTTCTATTTCCTAATTCAGCAGAGTCCTGGATCATGTTCACTTGTGTATTAAATCGCTTCTGGCGTTTAATCGATGTAGTCGATCAAGTTTATAGAGGTACGATAAACGTAACTCTCTGAATCAACAGCACTCATGGTATCTTCACTTTGAAACTTCTGGTTTTTATGGATTCGGACACTGAACATTGGATGCTGTCAATGTTCAGAGGAGGTTTGTCGTGCATACTGTGATTCTTTCTCTACTGAAATCATGAACCGATCAATGTTAGACCACCATTGAAAACCTGAGAGCACTTGACAGGTGCTTCGTTTTGGTATGGGACTGCAACAGTTTGAATCGTCGACCCTACGTGAGTGAATTGAATACAGGAATTTAGGTCTTGAGCAAACGTTTGACCACTGAGCCAAGATCCAGAGGTGCTGGAGTCTCATACCAAAGAGAAGCAGCCGTCCATTTCCCTCCAGTTTATCGTTGATGGGTTTATGGTTTCAGTGAACATGAACAATCTCTACAACCCAACACTGATAATCCTTTTTCTAAATTTGATTTTTGTCACAAGCAGCTGATAATCTGTTTCGATGATTTATTTTCTTTAACTTAAAGGCATGCATCTGTAAAACGCGTTTTAGCAAAATACCTTCTGTCATTAGATTTCGTGAAAATACTCTTAACTACAAACAGTCGATGTGAATATTCTTTGAATTGAGTATTCAAATTACTCTAGAAGTCAACCTTCGGTTATGTCGATCCACTGAAAGTTTTACACACTACTACTTAGGCCGCCCAAAGTAAATGTTTCATATAATTGAGATAAACCATGTCCTTCAAACACTTTTACTACTTATCTACTAACGATGGTGTGGCACATGGCACCAGTCTTCTGGGTTTGAAGCGAAACCGAAGATATCAGGATGCTTTTTAAACTTACAACATTCAGGGAACTCACAAAATGTTGAACAATACTTTACTTTAGTATGACTGATGAAAGAGCAGGAGTAGACCTAAACTTTTGTCACACATCACCAGATAACAAAGTAATATCTGAAAAAGTATAAATCTGAAGGGTAATTTATTCACCGAAACCTCAAAATATTTTATTTTCCTAGCTGGATGAACACACGAAACATTAAAAACAGTATTAATAGGTGATGACTATAATTTCTTTTCACTATAATGTAAAGCATCATAAAACCTACAAGAACCCACCTTTGTAACGTAACTGTTTACATTTATTGCATTTATTTGTTTTGTATGGATATCTTTTGGCAAAATGCCGACTAATGCAGAAGCAATAAACCGCTGACTGCCTTTTTTAACAAACGGATGGTACTATCCAATTTTTGTCGTCCACATGGTAAAGATACTTATGAACTTGCATTCTCTCTTCCTTTTGTATTGTGTATTAAATTCAAAGCTTTGACACTTCGTCATCACATATTGTAAGGTCAGACATACATCATATTTCATACTTGTAGGATACGAGTACGGAATTCAAAGTCAGATGTTGACAGAAACAATAATAAAACATTGACTTGATCATGGGTTTTTAATCTCAGATTAGAATATTGGGTTGTGCGATTTACATTACCAGCATAAGTGCTATAATCATCATTAGATTCGTCGAAAGTCTTGAAGAAACTGTATAGAAAGTTGGAAGACGACGATTGTTCACCAATAACCTCTCGATGTATAATATCTATTTATCGAAACTAGTATCTGTAGATAATTATGGCAAAATAAATGGTGTATTGTTAGTGTGTTCACATATTTTCAATTTCCTCAAACCATTGTCGGAATCAGGTGATTCGTTTTTGAACAGATCATCATTTCTACCTTACCTGGCGTCCAAAGTGATTCCAATTCAATAGTAAAAGTAAAGTCATCATCTTGGTTCAAAACTGTTCCAACGTGATACAAAGATTTACTCACTAATAACTGAGAAAACTAAGCATTGACTACTTTGATTAACTTCAAACTTAGCTACAGTCTGATATTTCTTAACTCAAGGTTGGAAATTGACAGATCAATAGTAGTTTAGTCGAAGTTAACGTTGTGTCGTTATTCGTGTCCATTGGAACGTGTGATTGGTTACGATTAATGACACTCGGCTATAAACAGAATAACATACACAGGATGGAGAAATTCTAATCAAAATTCTGATTGGTGAATCTAAGAAGCTGCATCGAATCACGACGCAGTCGTAACATAACGCATTTATATTGTCAGCTTTATTTAGCATTATAACTACCCTCGAAGATTTAAGAGTGGAAATTTTCATGGAATTCGATATCTACGATTAACTGTTTAATCAGTTACCATTTGAAGTTTTTAACCTTTAATCAATATTTAACATGGTTACATCAGGCTCCATTCATTTCAACTTCATATAATGAAATTATAACTGAAAGATGAGTACACAAACCAGTACTTATTATTGACTAGATTAAAACGATGATACATTACAGGAGTATATCATTAATGGGTAATTTGTTTCTATACTCTTGTACCTTTCCCTTTATAGGTAATTGTATTGGATGTTGATATACTACTTAATACAGATATTATTGAATTGTGGAATCATTTTGATTATTTTAAAGAAACTCAGGTATGTTTCTAATAATTGTTCATGTTATGATTGATTAAATGTTGATATTCGATGCAAAACAAACACAAAACAATCTGTAATTGATCACACATCATACTATGATATCAAAGCGCAGTTGTTTTTTTCTCAAATGCTTAACACCAATTGAAGTGTATTAGAAGTTTGATCAGAATTGAATCGTTTTTTATTTATCTTAACACATAGATATCGGTACAATGAGGCACCAAAACATATGCGCCACACAAATCTCATTTGATATGTGTGAGGGTTGTGATACTGCCCGGGTGCCCAAACCGAAGCAGGTGGTTTTCTTAGGGAGGCACACCCCGAGCCTTCGACCTAAAGGCCTGATCCATAGGGTAGTGAGGCAACGTAAGGAGATGCAGTCCCATGGTAGCCGGTGACCGACGACTGCTCCATACGCCATTTGTTCCTTCAAGATACTGGAGACTATGTGCACCATTGGTTTGGAATCAGGGTTTTCCAACTCCCCTAGGTGGATTCTCCATGTCCACCAACCCGGTTAAATCACCGGAGATTTGCTTTTTGCCCTCTCAATTTCGTAAACAACAGTAATGCCGCGAGAAGGCAATGAGTAGGACTTCCCTGGCAGTGGCTAAACACGCGTGGCTATGTGAGAGCGTTTCGAGAGGGAGAGCGGACTCTCCCCACTCTCAGCCGTACCAGGGCATTTTGGGGCTGAGTTGAATCTACATTCTATTTGGCTTACACGATAAATGCAAAAAAATATCTGAGTGTTGAGTACATAGTTCCCATTGGACTATAAAGTCACGACAAACCAAACACTATTATTATTGTTATTATCATCTCAATTGAATGAATATGCATGGAATGATTTCATTACGAATTATTCGAAGATCCAACAGTATGAATTGTGAATACTCAGATTGTCTTCAATGAAACATTTAAATAAGACAGCGATTTATGATATGATTCTTTAAATTTGACTAATTGCATCATGAATAGGCTTTACTTAGTGAACTCTTAAGTGAAGAAAAGTAAAAGAAGTGCACGAAAGCCTTATTTGCAATAGCAAACAAAACAACTGAGATATTTTCGGGTTCTTGTTTATTCAGCGAAGAATGTGTTTTCAAACAGATATATACTTGTAACAATATACGTCAAGATATGTGACAATGAATAGTTGTGTTGAAATTAATGTGATAGACAGTGTCAAAATGAGAACAGCTCAGTGATCTAGAAGTTATTATTATTAGCTTTATTCATTCTACATTCTTCATTAATTTCACAGTTGATTTCAAATTGGGACTAAACTTTCAACTTCAGCTAGATAATGTTTTGTGTGTATCAAGTTTACTGAAGGATATTCTCTGATGATCGTTTCAAATTTATACTTCTGACGGCTTACAAATCTTCATGTCTTTGTATTTTTCAAAGAGCATAGGTATTGGATTAGAACAAAATCCATATTTTCAAGAAGTTATGACCAAATTAGAAAGCAACTGGAAAGTAAGTTTAAACATTTTCATACATCATTACATTTGCAACGATTTACACTTTGTCCTTTTTAAGAACAATCTGACGGAGACTATAATTTATGGACGAACTGTAAGCGACTCTGAATTGACCTAGAGACAGCTCACCTACTTGTTTAATATGGTCGGCGTTGTTTTAGAAAGAATTGTTCTACGGGATTTTTGTTTCTGACCTCATCCCCAACCCTCCTCTTTTACGAGGGCTCGGGAACAGCACTAACTCTAGAAGAGCTGCAGGAGGAGTTAGCTCACCTACTTAAAGTGCCCAAATGAGGTTATAAATTAGTGTGAGGAGTTACGATTCGGATGTCGAGTTAGAATTTAGGCTTAAGAATGAAAATGAGGATTTTCATCACGAACTGCCACCAGCAATAATGTTAAAATGTTATTTAACTATGTAGATGAATTGAATTCGCGCGAACATCCAAGATATACTATCCTCAATTTCATTGGTTCGCCGATAAATTATGTTCTCGCACTACCTGCTTTTTATCAAGCAATAATCGTTTAAAGCTAATTACTTCTCCTTTATTTATATCAGATTGCAGTCATGGATGTAGATGATTGATTTCAGAACTTGTGAAAACCTTGTTTCTTTTGTAGTGACGTTTGAATTGTGTCCATCAAGTCGAAATGTACTTACTAACCTATTAAACAAGTATATGTGTGATCAGACTGTTCGAAATGTATTGCGCAAATATGTCACATAATTCTGATAAACTACGTCTTCTCATTGCATTATCGAAATTTATCAAAGGGACTAATTGTTTTAAACTTTGATTGACAAAAACATCCTGGAAATGAGTTTTGTGTAATTCAGTACTTGTAAACTGGAAGGTATATGCAGAATCTTGAGGAATTATGATTATCTCAGTGAGATGCGTAGTCACCTCCTAGTTTAGATTATTAAGGGACTGTTATAATACATAATCAAACGTTCTAAATAGCTTTTATACTGATTGCTGTTAGGCCAATGCCGTAGCTGAGTACCTAGAACATCAACTTCTGTGCAATCAACTTTACTTCGTCTGTGCATAGTATGGTGGATCATATGCATAATGTTTATTTTAGGGTTACGGATATAATAACGGTATTCTGTTACTTTATCTGTCTAAATTACGATCAACCAATTGGAATCATCTATGGTTGAGCATAACTAGAAGAGCTATTAAACGTCAAGGTTACTTAATCACTGGTGAACAGGTAGGTTCAAACTTCTTACATATTAATCGTAATTACTTTTAATGGCTGTCAATACGCATATGAAGATACCAATTTGCAAATTTCTACCAAACACGCGTTTCTAAGGTACACAAAATCTTAATGACACTATTCAAATGATTACTGATCTGGCAAACGAAAAGAAATTGAATAATACTCTACGAACTACCTAGTTCCATCAGTGTGACTACTGAGAAGCAAATTCATTCACTATTAAACAGTAGCACATAGTTACAATCTCCACTAGTTTATTAGGAGGAGAAACTTATATCCACAAAGCGAATTACCAGAGTACTGATGTCACTTCAGAGCTCAACCATTTATTAAAAATGAATTGGGGGAGAGCAATATCGTGAAGTTATTACACTAGTCATGGAAAGTGTACAACGTCACTCAGCCGGATATTCTATTTGAATGCTTGCGTCTTCCTATAATGACGGGAAGTGGTTTATTGATTACATACTATATTCACGCTCATAACACAATCAGATATCGTTTCGACTCCCCTCACATCGCGACGTGGAACACAGTTTATGACCATCATTTGGGAATTACATCAGGATTGATGGGCCTTGAATAATTACACACTGAAAACAATAACTGAGACTTTTAGCCAAAGAGCTTTTGACTTAGCAAACGAAAGAACTGGACCTCCACTCTCAGGAATCTTAATTTAAATACATCTACAGGACACACTGATCGGAGACCTATATACTCTACAGTATACACAAGAATAAATACTGTATCGTGGCTTATAAGTTATCAATTACATAAATGTATGTAGAAAATTGTGGAGGCACATTTGAGTGGAAAAGTGTCAAAATCTTGGTAGGAGGGAATAATGAGAACGCTAGCGAATTTGTAGGAGCTTAGCAATCAACAAACACGTTAACATCGATGCAGTTTATTAACCAACCAGAAAAATCATTGACAAATATATGATGAAGAGTCAGACCAAAGAAAGAGACTATCCACGACTCAATCATTCAGTTCAGATAAACGAAACTCCATAAAAATCATCCATCAGAGTATTAAGCATTCTATACCATCTCTGAATATCATGTGTATACTAACAAGTCAACTGTAATTTATTGATAGAAATAGACATATTAATAGTTAGTTATAGAAGTCAGGGTTTAAATATAAGAAAGCATAAAAGTACCATAAATCTATTGTTTAATGAACAACATTGAGATTTCATCATATTATGAAAACGAGAGGGCATAACATATTCATTACATTGGCACCCGAATGCCTTGGTACGACCGAGAGTGGTGAGAGTCAGCTCTCCCTTTCGAAATACTCAAACATATTCACGTGTATACCACCACTGACAGGGAAGTCCTACTCACTGCCTTCTCTCACCAGGGATGTTGTTTACGAAACTGAGAGGATGAAAAGCGAATGTCCGTTGGTTTAACCGGATTGGTGGATAAGAAGGATCCACCTAGGATAGTTGGGAATCCGTGGATCCATACCACTGGTGCACATGGGCTGCAGGATTCTGAGTGAACGAATGGCGTAAGAACTACTTGTTAGTCAATGACTACCATAAGACTGCATCTTTTGCAGTTATTCCACTGCCTTATGGATCAGACCTTTAGGTCAAAGGTTCGGGTATGGCCCCCTAAGAAAGCTACCTGCTCCGGTATGGGCACCCGGATAGTATCCCAGCCCCCTACATAAATCAACAGACTTGTATGGCGCATATGTACTTGGTGACCCTTCTTACCAATAATTATTTGTTCAAATAAAATAATAAGTTCATTACATTGACAAGAAATAAAATTTGAATAATAATTGGAATAGAGAATTATGTCCATTCCCCCTCTCAGTCCATCATTTACAGAATGTACAGCTGTACTAACACCAGCTTATTTCAAACATCGTCACTTATTTATTCGTTTCCTCATCCACTTTTTAGGATATTTTAAACTTAATATTATTTGAATTCAAATACATTTTATATGAGATTCCATGTGAATGGAATATTCAATTAAGTGCAGGAAGTGATGAACAACGATGTCCTGTAAGTTGGTTAACTTATACAGAATTGAAAAAGCGTAATTATACAACAATTGTTAAACAACCAAAACTTATTCATATTAATCATCATATAAAACCAGATGATATAAATGTGAATTATACACCGACTGAGTACATTGATCAATCAGATATCATTCTTAAACGTAAGTTAATATGTAATGAAATATGATGAAACTAACAACATACAACTCTCATGACTTCATATTATAATTAATAGATGAATTTTAATTATGCATGTTTTGCCAGTTACATGAGACGTACAATTAAACAGGAGAAACGAACTATAATGTTTGAACCTCTCAACGTATGTTCTCTTAACAGTGATGTTTACAACTAAAATTGATCAGTCTCCCACTGACAGATATGCATCCTATGAGGATTATGTTGATATCGCCTTAATTTACATGCATTCTAAACAGAGATGAATAGTGGCTAGCACTGGAATCTAGGAAGTGAGTTTCATCGAATTTCGCACTCATCAGCTGGATGTGCCTGCATCCCAAATTTGATGTTCACTCCTATATTCGAACCCACTATTTTTCACTTCAGATGACATCGTATTTTCTACTTATCTACTGAGTCGAGCTAGCAATTAGCTCATGAAATGAGGTAAAGTTTCATTCATTTTTTTATTGGTTATTTGAATCTTCCGATTGGCGATATGACCGATAAAGGTTTCCTCCAGATTAGTCCCAAATAGGAATGTTTGTTAGATAGTCACGTTTTAAATGAACTATGTGTATACTACGTAGCATTATTTTCACCTACCATGCCATCAATTACTATAATTACATAATCATGGTGATTCTCTACTGAATTGTAATTTTCTTTGTAGAGTGGGAACTATATGATAAATTTGTGTCAGTTTACCGTCAATATACTCAATTACATGAATCATGTTTCCGATAGATTCAGTTGAAGAACCAATCAGTTGGATGTTGTTCTTTCAATCATGTAGTTGATAGGCTATTCTTTGTCTTCAATCAATAGAATCGATTATCTTTTATTTTGTATTTATATCAATACACTTGAAATAAATTTGATTAATGATAACATGATGATTTTCTAAGACTATTTCTATCGAATTATGTGTATCTACTAAGTTGGTGAAATATAATTGTTGAATGGGATGACTATGGACTATGACCGGGATAAATTGAGATATGAAATAGCATGTGGATTGATCATCATATACTACTTTAATGTTAGTTATGATAATCTTATATGAATTGTAAGTAGTAATGATGTCGATACATAAAATATTCGTCTTGTTTATTATAATCATGTGGTTCTCACTTGTCAGTATATATTGCTTTGTCGGTGTATGTAAAGCTTTAGTGTAATGTATTATTCTTTCCTAAGTTTACACTGACGATATGTGATGCGATCGAAGTGAAATATGTTTCACTCCATTATTATAAATAGTAGTCGGAAGAGTATGATAAGAAATGAAGATTGTGTAATGGTCCAAGGTTTCATCTCTTCATGTTCACTGGATTCAAGGAGGTCTGGTTAATTTAATGCTGAAATCATTAAAATTTCGACTTCAAAGAATCTCTGTTCATATGTATATACCTTTATAACACTTCTCATTCACTAAACGTTTAAAATGGTACCCTTAAAAATCTCAAACACACCTACGCCTTTTTAAAAAAAACCTGAATCTTTAGAAAAACAATCATCAACCTTTCACTTTGAAAATACAGTGATTACTCACTTTCTTATGAGCTTAATTTAAGCAATTCAATGACAATAGACAACTAGGTAAATGGTTTTGTATACAACGAACAGACGATACATTATATCTACATAACGCCCATCAAATTCAGTGACCTTATCAAAGTAGTCTTTACCGGAAAAACATGCAATACACAACATAATTATTACATACCACTATATTCAGAAGAGTGATGTAATATAAATGACAACATATATTTGATCACCTTGTAGATGCATGCAACATCGATGTAATTTCCACGGCGTTTCTATAGATTGTAACTGGAAACGCATATTGAACGATTCTTTACATTTTATTCAAGTTTATAATAACAGTATTCCAAAAAACAAACGTAATTACGCTGAATATCATAGCGATAATCACAATTCGACTGAGATTATGAATCGATTGATGCCAGACCACCATTGGAAACCAGGAAGCACTAGATGGCCATTTCGTCCTACTGTGGGACTCCTCGGCAGTGTGCATTCACGGCCCTGCCCGTGAAATTCGAAGCCAGAGCCTTCAGTCTCGCGCGCGAACGCCTAACCACTAGACCACTGGGCTTGCCTGCATCCTACGGTGTTGATATCTAACCTCAACCAATCCACAAAATTGCACGACCATCTTCCATTATACTGAGGTCGACTCCTGTCTCTACCCGAAATGAACTAGCTCCACTAGTCACGGTTTCTCACTAGAACTCCGAGAATTCCCTCATGAAGCTTGTCACTAGTGAGCACATGGTAATTATCAGTACAGGGTTGTGAAGATTGTTGAGTTTTTGATTGAGATCATGAATCGATAATCATGATTTGGTTTTGTAAAATTACATTGAAAAAGCTGACCTTATCGATAAGAAACCATTTCCATTAATTTCATGGATGGATTCGTAAGGTAATAATACGTTGACTTATGTATACCCACAAGCTAAACAAGATAATGCAACATTTCAGAACGACGTTTTAAATTTTATACGAACATCAATTGTTGACAAATACAAATAGACAATACGTGAAGACCTAAATGTAATGATGAATTTTATTTCCCCCTCTATCATTTAGTTTATCTATTTATTTATTTAAACACATAAACATTGGTTCAAGGAGGCACCAAATAGACATGCACCACATAAATCAATGGATTTGTGTGAGGGCCGGGATACTGCCCGTGTGCACAGTTCGAAACAGGTAGTTTTCTTAGGGAGCCTCATTCGAACCTTCGATCTTAAGGTCTGATCCATAAGGCAGTGGTGTAACGTCACAAGATGCAGTCACATGGCAGCCGGTGACCAATGATTGGTTTATAAGTCATTTGTTCCTTCAGGATCCTGGTGTCCATGTGAACTCTTGGTATGGAATCATGGTTTTCCAACTCCACTAGGTGGACTCCGTGTCCAACAACCCGGTTAAAGCGTCAGATATTGGATTTTCGTCATCCCAATGTCGTAAACAATATCCCTGTCGTGAGAAGGCAGTGAGTAGGACTTCTCTAGCAGTGGTTGTATGCAAGTAGCCATCTGAGAGAATTTTGAGAGGAAGAGCTGACTCTCCCCACACTCGGCCGTACCAGGGCACTTAGGCATATATAAATATATACAAACTCAGGAGATAAATGTATCTGTATTCATCACAGCCGTATAATTAGTGATATTGTAGTGAACAAGAACACAAGTGGGAACAATCAAATGTTTTTGAACACAAAAATACAAGATGCATCAGTAAAATCTGAAAACTATACTGTAACTACTCTTTTGATTTCACACTAATCATTCTCTGTCCTCATTCTCTTTTTCTTCAATCTTCTTAACGTTCTGCCTGCAGACGATTCACTTTCGATTGATGATACATACTACTTATATCTGTCGACATCATTAGCACATATCATAACGAAGAAATACCAAAACATGAGAAAGTTATCACAGTCAAAACAGTCATTTCTTTTTTTCTTACCAATGACTAATCAATAAATAGGCATACAGTCAAATAATAAAGTTTACACGGGCACACACCCAACATCACTTAAGATAATATTCCATTTATAGACGAGTGTCATGAATCATGACCAATCATACGTTACAACGGACATGATTGAACATGACGCGAGCCTAACCTAATCTAAATGCCCATTGATCTGTCGATTTCTAGCCTTAAGTCAGGAAATATCAAACTGTATCTAACTTTCTAGCTTTATATTTCAACAATTCAGGATTTATCTTAAATACTTATTAGCTTATCGGACATCAAGGGACCTCAAATACAAAACTGTACCTTGCATATTATCAGGTTATAATTAGTATAGAATTAATAAGTAATTAATTAGCAAGAATGAGGGATGATAGTAAAATGTTAAACGATAGAATTACTTTAATACAATTAACAATTGATCACATAATAAACATAAAAATAATAATCCGTAAACTAGTCCTATGTGTTACACTTTCTATAGTAGTCACTGTACTACAACACTTCAGGAAAACATACCAAAACCGATAACTATTTCCCACACTGTCGAATCAAGAATTGTAGAGCATAATTAGTAGTTTTCTAGAATTGTCTTGGATGTTTCTAGAAAGCAGTGACTAGTCAAAGCAACCTGCGTGGCATCTGGAGATATTTTAAAGAGTGTTTGTACCACTTTAGACAAGTTTAATATTCATTATGAAGAACTAACTGATTGAGTCTTATGTAAATGAACATGGAATATGTAATATCATCCATCAGTAGTAAACTTCTTTGGATAACTCTCATAAGTGAATAATTTAAAGCCTACAAACAGTATATACGCCTGTTATTCAAATTTACCAATTGTTTCATTGAAAACCTGTTCAGTTTGTTTGAGACTGAAAGTGTTAAAGTTAATTGACCCATCAATCATTGAATATACTTTCTGAAAATGGATGTCATAGGATGAACCTCAGTGATCTGAGTGGATTGAAAGTCATGATCTGACACGTTGTTATTGAACTATAATCTTAAACTAAAAACTGTAGTAACGCTGTGGTGTGCGCTACTGATATTGATATAAGTAGTATATTATGCCAGTCAGGAATGAAATGTTTGGCAGCAGAAGATGAGGGAAGATCAAGAAAGCAAGAGCGATAATGGAATGTAATTCGTATGAAAATGTAGCAACAATGAAGTTTGAGACAATTGGTGGACATTTTGCAAATTAACGATTTAATATATAGTTCTCAGATTTTATTGAGATGCTCTGTAATTTCGTGTATAATTCATTCGATTGTCCTCACCCGTGTTCTGTTCAGTACAACAATAGTTGGCTCGACGATCACACTAGGGCAATCATTTTACATGATTTTTTATAGGATAAAGAAGGCCATTTGTCGTGAATTGAAGACACCTATAAGTGCTTACAATGAATCCCAGGGAACTGGGATCATACACAAGTGAACATGATCCAGGACTCTGCTGAATTAGGAAATAGAAGAGTTACACAGTAAAACATCTTATTCCTAATTTGACTCATTACATAACCCGCTAAAAACAGGAGAGTGTTAGGATGCGATAAAATGATGAGACAAGATTATTAACTCGGTGTAATTATTCTCTTCATTATTGATGCAGATACATGCAGTTGAATAGTTCCAAATCTCACGTCCTAGATTCCACTACTAGTCACCATCTATCTTGACTTATTATTGATCGTTATTAGAATCTAAATTTATTTTTTGAATATTAATTCAATTGTATTTTACTGCATTAATCTACTCCATTTTTCTATTGATTTTAATGTTATAACATGTGATATGAAGTTCTTTTGTTTGTTTTTTTTTGTTGTCTCAGTTATTCTGTGTATTTTCCAGTGATATGTGATGATAGTGTGGTTGTTATTTTTTGCAGGAAATCAGTACAAATTTGTACAAATCAATATTCATCAAATAAGTGCAGTCATGATTGTATTCGATGTGTGTTTATGGGGGTGGGGGTGGTGGTGGTGATGGTGAGGAGTAAAGTTAATCTGTTTTAATTATTCACTTTTCGATCATATTTGAGTTGTGAAAAAGATTTCAGTTTGATGTAGCGATAGTGAGTACAAGATGATTAGGAGGTTCATTTGTTCCTATGGAGATAGCTTTATTGGCTTTACTACTAGGTAATTTAATGAACATATAAGTGAACATCTCTTAGTTTGGTTTGTAAAGGGTCAGACAAAGACACTACATAGCTTTATC